CTGGGGAATACCAGCCAAGAGACATAATCTCTCCAGTACATCTTGTATCTGCCCCAGGGCCTCCTCCTGCCAGGTCATGCCTGAAACATCTCATTTAGGAAGCGCCCACGAGGAAGCCCAGTCAGATGCGTGAACCATCTCAACTGGCTCCTTTCCATGTGGAGGACTCGTGGCTCTACTCTGAGTCCCTCTCAGATGACCAAGCTGCTCACCTTATTGTTAAGTGACAGCCCGGCTACCCTTCACAGGATGTTCATGTATCAGCAATCGTACTCCTTTGGTCACTACCCACACACAGCTCGTGGCCATAGGTGAGTGGGGGAATGTGTGATACGTAAAAATAGATACAAAGGAAAACGACATGCAGGGATCCAGAGTAGATGTTTTAATCAGGCTGAACTTCTGAATGTTGTAAATGTTGTAAAATTGTTGGGACTACACCTCAGTGAAACTTCAGAACAGCCTTGTTTCTGATTATTTTGCTTAGATCCACATTTTGTTGTTGTCTTTAAAATAAGCAATATGAACAATTTTTTGGAAAGTACATTCTCATTCCCGACTGTGTTTTGTCCTGCTTGTGCATTGATAACTTAATTTACTTGAGATTACAGTCTTATGTGCCCAGTTTCCCCTGCCGCTCAAGGTAATTAAACCTGGTGTGTATTATCTACACTTCTCTTAATCCACTTTATGAAAACAGGTTGGAAAATGCCCTCGCACTCCAAAAAAGCACCAGGAAAACTGCAGGTGGAAGGGAAAAACTCATGTACAACTCTGTGTGTGTCTGGGTGTTTGTCACTGAGGACAAAATAAGGATGGTGAGCAGGCCTAGACGAATGTCATATTTCTCCACCTAATAGGCTTGCCTGCTATTCAGACACTCCACTGGGTCTTGATCTCTGACAGAAATGTAGCTAAGGGACACACGCACACATACACATAAAAACCGTTTCTCCAACCTAAATTTGAAGCTTAAACAGGTGAGGTACTGAAGAGGAGTGGATGTGCTCACTGTTTCTGAGAAAGGACACAGACTTTGAATATTTGACAGAGGTCAGACACTTGTGGTATTTCTTGTAACTAGCTAGCTAGCTGGTTTCTCATATAGAATTGTTTTAAAATTATTTTATTCCAGTCCTCAGTTTGTTAACTTAGCAGAGACTGTGGATACACACTATTGCACACACTCAAGTGACTAAGCCAAAATAATAAATATTACTAATCATACTCTTTACGATTAAAAACATGCTTAAAACACACTTACACTTTCAAATTTGATTGTCTTTGAAAGACATTTAAAAAAAAAATCCAGAGTGAAAAAGGAAAAGAAAATCATATGAATGTGAAAACAGAGCCATGTCCCCATAACACGAGTGAAATACCCGCCCACACATCCACACGCCTGCATGCAAACACACACTAACACACACGCACACACATTCCAGCAATGATATCAGTCCCTGAGTAGATCAGTTGCCCGTGGACAGAGAGGTTGCCTGATCAGGTGTGCTCTGATCAAGTTATTTTAGTTGCTTCTAGTTTTTTGGGCAGGATCATGTCTCTAACACCAACATCAACTCTGACTATGAAGGAAAGGCCACAACAGTGAAGCACATCAAACAATACAGGTGAGTTAACAAATCCAGACACATGTGCGTCACACTCTTGTTCTTAAAAACCCCTAAATAGCAGCCTGACCTTTATTTTTTTATTTTTATCATTGATGTACTTGATGTTTATTTACATCAACTTCTCTCTTTTTTAAACTCTATTTGTGGAGATTCTATTTAGATCCTATTCTGGCTGAAAAACTGAAAACGGTGCCATGTGTCAAAGATAACTGAGCACATTAAAGCTTACACAATATCCTATTTAAATCTTTGCTTTGGTATTCTCTAGTTGTCTAATTTTAAATTAAATGTGGGAACAATACGAACGAGAACTCAATTAATTATGTAATTAAGCTGTTATTTCTACCTTAAATTGTTTGGCTTTCAACTTAAGGTAGGAAGCCTTAATCTTTCGTTATAATCAAAAATGTGGCCTGATTGTAACTCATCTTGATTGCATCATATATTTGATCAGCATCTACTGGAATTTATTTTTTTTCCAAAATGCAATATCTTTTTGAGTTATGTCCTTTCTGATGCGTGTAAAATCAAAGTAAACCAAAAGTAGAGATCAGCTTTTCCACTTTCTTTCTTTCATCTCTGAACTGGCAGTATAAATAAATTCATTGTGAGGCACCGAAGAGGTCCACAAAGAGTCGAAGATAAAGATTTAAAGCAGTCTAGGAAGAAAAGCAATGGCGATATATTTAATGTTAAAACATTCTCTGTATACAGTCCACTAGCTCACCTGTATGCTCAAATAAGAGCTGAGTCATTTGTGTGCGTTAAGAGGAAAAGATAAAGAAAAGGGAGCGAGCGGATAGATTAGGTGGCTGATTGGATATGGTTCTCAATTCAGCTCCCTGCCAGGGCCAATAACAAAGAAGAGACACAATAGTAAGGGAGCTGGATGAGAGGACAGAGAGAAGAGGGTGGAGGTGGTGGAAGTGTAATGGAGTCAAGGACCCTTACAGACTGTCAAATGCTGCACACTTGCTGCATGTCAGGCCCAAGACACACATGCACGCATAAGAATCAGTCCAATATTTTGCTAGACATGTCTGTGTGTGCGTGTGTACAAGTGCTCCTTGGCGATAAATCTTAATTACACAATGGAGTGCAGGCCATGTGCCATCTCATCACACCATGTCAAATCTCATAAGCAACACAAAAGAATAGAAGAGGAAGAGCAAGAGCAAGAAAATCAGATGCAAGCAAATGTGTATCTGGTATGTGAAGAAAGAAGGAAATTCAGACCTGCACAGGGGGGATCCAGGGGGAAGACAATCTTTGTATTGGATCCTCTTGGGTAGACCCACTCTGGTCATTACTTCTAAAACCAGAAACTCACCAGCAGCCAATTTTGTGTTGCTGCTGGTGATTTTGCAATCAGTTCAGTCAATATTAACAATTCTAAAAACAAAACAAAACATGTAACCGATCTATTTTGTGCCAAGGGAAGCTGGCGGATGAATACACAGGTTTAGAATGTGAGAAAGAATGGGGCTGGGGGTGTTGTTGTGGCCCGCTGAGTCATCGTGGCTGGGTGATCTGTAAAAAGCAGCCCCATCAGCCCCCCAGAGTAATGGTTAATCGTGGGAAGTCTGGTGTTAGGGTAAGTGTGGCTGTGTGCAGGCCCGGCCTGATTGTGGACAGTTGCGGTGGGTTTTGCCGTACCGTGGTGTGACAGGGCCAGTCAGGCGGATGGGGCGTGTGTTGTTGTGGGGAAAGTCCTGTACAAGCAGCTCTTTGCTCTGCTGGCTGGGAGAAAAGCTGGGGCAGCTCTCCCAGAGTAGAAAAAAAAAGCTCTGTTCTTTTGTTTTCATGGCCGTTCTGCTCCCTCTGCTCTGTGAGTTTGGGTATCTCATCTGGTTGGCTGAATGATATTCGGTCCTGTCCTGGACCTCTGGTGTCTCACAAAACTTCCCGTAGTCTCTTCCTAGAAACTTTTACTTCCAAAGTTAAAATACAATTACAATAAAAGGGAAAGCAAAGACATTGATCTCTTTTGGCGTGGCATTAAAATGTATCTAGCTTGTAACGAATCAATGAAGGGACACTTAAGCTGACATGCCGATAATCATCTTGTAGTAGCAACATGATAGAAAGCAGACACACACACACACACACACACACACACACACACACACACACACACACACACACACACACACACACACACACACACACACACACACAGGAAAATACCACCAGAAAACAGCAGTGTTTTCCCTTATAGTGCTGAGGGGGATTTTCAAAGAAAATGTCAAAAAAGATTTAGTTATTTCTCCTTGTGACATTTCACGGTACCTGTTAGCCATCTTACTTTTTATATATTGTGAAAATACAACATTATTATTTACAGGTCACTGTAACCTCTGCCAGAAATTGTTCAGTGCTATCACAATTCTGAGGTTGCTATGGGTCAGTATTTAATCATGCTTCGATGTGTGGAAATATCTACTGTATATAGATGTGTGGCAGATTAGGAGGCAGAGCGGCTCATACGCTAATCACAAGGTCAGGGATTTGATCATCAGCTCCTCCTCAATGTACATGTGGAAATGCCCTTGGACAACATGATGAACCCAAAAAACTACCTTTGATACATCCATCAATGTGTGTATGTGTTTGTGTGTATGTGATCTTAATATTTTTTTTAAAAAAGCAAGAATTATGCCTTGTAGTGTAAAGTGATTTGAGTGTTCGCTAAGACCAGAAAAAGCACTTTAATAATTTCTCTTCCTGTGCTGCACATGTGGTTCCACTGTGTGTCTGTCATGTCTTTAGCGAGGTAATTAACTCCAGTCAGACACTCTGTCACTCAGACCCGGAGCACATGTGTCTCACAAAAGCCTCATTTCACAGGCTGCTTCAAATCAGACGTAGAAACATCTACCCACACTTTTTCAAACAAATGTGCTGGCTACACATATGCACGTCTAAGGACTAGACCTCTGACATAGTTTACCGCTTCAGTGCATTTATCATCCCTTTTCGACATCCAAGCTCTTCATCTCATCTGGTTTGAGATCTAGCCACTGAGTAACATAAAACATTTCTCTATCCGAGTGTCAGTGTTTGAATAATGGGTCAGGGACTACATGTGTCTTTGTGTGTGTGCTGCGTCTGCATATGTGTGTCATTCCACTGTGCTGTGATTTCCGTTCTTGAACAAGGCTGAGATGTTTTTTAAGTATTTTTAAGGCATTTGTTCCAAGGTCCTATTTTGTATGCTCTGTTTGCCATGCAACAAAGCAGGACTCTGAGCTCTTGATGGACTAATGTAAGGCTGTTTTTGCTGTGTGTCACTTCTCCATGTTCAATCCTTAGCTCCTTTATTTGACACTGACTTCTTTTGTCTTTTCTTTTGTCTTGTTTTTGTTGCAGGCACAGAAATCGTGGATAGAAAGAGCATTCAGCAAGAGAGAATGTGTTCATATCATAGTGAGCGCCAAAGACCCCCATAGGTGAGTACAGAAAAGGGATATTAGAAAGTGTTAACCAAAAATCTTTATATCTTTAATCTTTACAATCCTTTGCATCATTGTAGAGTTTGTTGTTTTGCTGTTGACCTTTTAAAACATGTAGAGTAACTCTAATGACACTGCAGGCAAGAGCTTCGCATTAATGAACCAAAACACTGACATTATGCATTTTAAAACACAAATAGGGAATTTAAAGGTACAGTTGTTTTCTGCGGATAATAATAATAGTAATGATCAGTGTTGCCAACTTAGCGAGTTTTCAGACCCCTTAGTGACTTTTTTTCTAAAAAAAAGTCGCTAAAAAAAGACGTGAAAGCGCGTATCGCTTTTACTCTCAACAAGCAGCGGGTGCTGTAACGCAGTCAGTTCTTCTTTTACTCTTTTACTCTTATGCTGTTTTGTGGATCACAAGGTTTAAAACTACTTATAAACACACACACACAAAGTAACTCCACCAGAGCGCCTATTTCAGGTCACTTTTGCCGGTCCAAGCCCGGGTAAAGAAGCAGGGTTGGAATTGTGACATTAAAAAAAAACAATAATTGCTAAAAGAAATTTAATTTGTAGTTCTAAATAAACTCTAAATGCATTTAGGACGTTTTTTACTCACGTTATGTCTCTTCCACGATGTTATTTCTCTCTCCAACAACATAGGTTACAATTAGATTAGCATGACCAATTATGCAAATTAGGCGATGGCGTCATTTAGTGACTTCTAGCGAGTTTTAGGACAACCAATAGCAATTTTCCTTACTGAGGAGTTGGCAACACTGGTAATGATAATCATTATTATTATTATTATAAAGAATTTTATATTTATAGTCACAGTTCTGCCTAATCTCACTTTATGTATGTGACTAGAGACTAGCCACATGTATAGTACATCAAAGAAGAAGGGAACACGCTCAGACTCCAGTTATGAAAGATCATACCTATGTTTTATCTTCTGAAAAGGAATCCCCTTCACCAAAGAAGTGAAAAAGCAAAGGAAAGAGACAACATGACCAGCATCTCAAAAATGTCAGATTTATTGTTTCCCTGTCTTGCGGCAACAAACAGATGCTAACAGCAGCTAACAGAACAGAGGCTAACAGCAGCAAAAACATCAATGCTTACTGACAAAAAAGTTTAAAGCGTTGTTGAAATTCAACATTAGCCACAGTAGATAGACATGTTACTTAGGTAAACATCAGACTTACAGCCTACACTCACTGCAGATGAACAGCAGCCAGAGTTGTTTGTCCTGTAGTGGACACCATAGACAGGATTACACACTTGAATTGATAGAGGTAAGAAACAGAACTCAGCTGACTGCCATCTGCAATATTCTGACATCTATTGAGACTAGACAATGTAAAATTAAGGTCTAGACCAATTCATGAAGACAGTAACATATTCTACATTGTTGTAAAAGAATATTTAGGAAGAAGTCCTTATCATTCTGGCATAGTCTATCTCAAAGTACATTTATGAGGGCTTTGTTTACATAATACAACGCTATAACAGCACTGTAATGATAACAGCACTTTAGAACAATTTGACTCAGTGTGATAAATTCACAATTACCACCACATTCATTTTTCATTTTGTTTTACAATCTCACTGTCACCTTGAGATTATCAAAATCATTAGAAAACCTGATGTTGTTTTTGCTGGAAGACAAACTCTCTCAATTCTCCTGCATGTACTATCAGGTGCCACACACACACACACACACACACACACACACACACACACACACACACACACACACACACACACACACACACACACACACAGGAAATGCCACAGTTTGTTTGGTACGGAAATTTTGCATTACTAGAGGAAAACGGGTGAAAGCCAGAAGCAAGACGAAGGAAAAAAGATGTTCCTCAAGATCAAATCAGCTCATTCTTTTTAGTTAGAGACACTTGTGCTCATGCGTGAGGAAGAGGAAGGCAAAGTACCTTTGGTAAGACATGATGGAAACATGAAGTGATAATCGCAGTCTCCTGCCTCCGTTCCTCCCTGGGCTCCCTCTTCATCCTGTAAGATTTAAACACAGAATATAAAAGCGCCATTCAGCACTTGTGAATAAGAATGTACGCAAGCATCATAACTAGCATTTTGCTAACTCTTGTAGTTGCTGAGAGGGAAAAGGAAGTAACAGCGACAGGTACAGAAAACAGAAAGGGATGGAGCTGAGAAAATTTAGCAAAAGCCCACAAATCCTTCCACTCATCTGCAACATAGCCACAGAGCCTAGCCTGATTCACACCTTCCCAGAAATATAACTAAATGCAACAGTTGGGATTGCTTCCTTTGATTTTAATAAGCTGTGTAAACATGGTGCAGGCTATAGTTGTACTTGGCTTGCTTACAAGGCTAATACAATTGCACAGATTCTATCAGTGTAGACACGCACCTCTTTCTTGGTTTGATAGTTTTTGACGATCTGTGTGTAGACTTAATTGCCACTAAAGCTTTTCCCGTGTTTCAGCAAGAGAACTGTTGTTCAGTATGGATCAGCTACAAGATCACCTCAGTTCCATCCATGGAGGCAGAGCAATGCAGGCTCAAACATAATGGCAAACAGCCACTTGCACAAAATTTAATATTTGCTCCTCTGTTATTCTATGCAGGACTATAAATCAAGCTTAGTAAAGAGATGAAAGTTGGACGGCATGCTATCCCTTCAGCCATGCCCACCTTTTATTGCTAGATACATACTACGGCAGCTCTCACGCTCTTTTCTCCCCACGCTCTCAGTCACACACAATCTGTCTCTTACTCTCCTTTTTCTTCTTCCTGCTCGGGGCTTGCACTTCTCAAGATTTCAATTATTCTCTGCAAAGGACTGTGTAATATACCGGTCTTACACTCACTCTTACTTTCTCCTCTTGTTCAGGTGCTGTTGTGGTCGTCTAATAGGTCAGCATGTGGGCTTGCCACCGGGCATCTCATCTAGTCAGAATGATAAGGCAGAGCGTTTGGCCAAGAATGACAGCCTGTCGGAGAAGTGGTCAATCAGCAAACACACACAGCTCAGCCCCACTGATGCCTTCGGCACCATTGAGTTCCAGGGAGGAGGACACTCCAACAAAGCCATGGTGACTCTCTTTACACTGTGTTGCATTTTATTAGACTTCTCCTTCAGCATGCTGCCCACACAAAGCTTGAGCTTTATGGAACTGGTCAACGTGATTGTTTTGAGCATTAGGGCACCTAAATAAAAGGAGTCACTATTCTGTTGTTATTTCATGCAGCACTGACCTCAGCCGTTGCAACTCATGTTTCCATTAAGACTCGAGAACCTTTGGTGACACATATCTGAGTGCACCAGCGCAGGAAATCTACTTTGTGTAGCTTTAAGAGTGCATTTGTATGCTTTACTGAGCTATTTTAAAGGCCATAGTTAACCTCCTAAGACAAGAAAGAAGAGAGTAGAGGATTTAGATATCCTAAAATATACCTCCAAACAGTACAAAGGAACCTAACCTCTGATGGAAGTGCTCTCTTCTGGAAATATGAAAATAAAAGTAATACAGTAATGATGTTGAGCAGATGCTTTTTTATGAAAAATGGCCACATAAATTGATTATAGAGATAGTAAAGACTGAGTAATTCAAGAAGAGGATTTCAAAAATATTCAGAAAGTGATGAAAGCTGAAAGTGCATAATGTGATCTAAAGATATTCTTCAAAGCTTCAGTAAACATGTTGTTTGACAACACGCAGGTACAGAGGAGGAAACTGTTTGATTCCTGGATAACTGAAATACTTTTTCCCTGAATGGCAGATGTAACACAGCTGAAAATAGATGAATAGTTGCGGGTTGCTGAATAAAAAATGACATTGACAAGAGGACTCATCAGGGCTCATTGTATGCATTATGGAGAATGACAAATGTGTCCAATCAGAAGACCTGGAGATAACTGAGGAATCAATCAAATTACTGGAATTATTGTGGAAATATGTGTAATTATTGCTTTAAAAGACTTAAGTGTTATGAGTGTTAGCAGACTGCATTTTGCCTGATTAATTGATCCGTCCCTAATGTGATCTGATGACGTTTTATTCGCAAAGTCACAAACTATGATAACTACACTAAGAAAGTCATATCACACTTTACTGCAGCAATCTGGGAATTCAGATGATTAAACCCAAATTATGTCTGATTTTTTTCCCCAGTGTTAAATTATTCATCCAGACACATGAATGAAATGAAATGGTAAATGATCTGTATTTATATAGCGCTTTACTAGTCCCTAAGGACCCCAAAGCGCTTTACATATCCAGTCATCCACCCATTCACACACACATTCACACACTGGTGATGGCAAGCTACATTGTAGCCACAGCCACCCTGGGGCGCACTGACAGAGGCGAGGCTGCCGGACACTGGCGCCACCGGGCCCTCTGACCACCACCAGTAGGCAACGGGTGAAGTGTCTTGCCCAAGGACACAACGACCAAGGCTGACCAAGCCGGGGCTCGAACCGGCAACCTTCCGATTACAAGGCGAACTCCCAACTCTTGAGCCACGATCGCCACCATGTCAGGTTGGCTTTCTGAGGGTGCATTAGAGGGATAAACAGATGCTCCATAATGTATGTGGTTCTTCAATCATAGCAAACATCTGCTCAATACGTCTTCTAACTTGAGAAATGAAATCCATACGCATAGACACACATGAAACACCAATGCTTTTTACGTTATCATACACATAAGTCGTCACAGCGGTGAAATACTTCATCCCCAAGACACCATATACCTGAATGTAATGCATAAAGTTGTGGTAAAAACAAAGTACACCATATGTCAATTCTAAGGTTTTATATATCCAGACAAAATAAAATTATCTTGACTGTAGCTGGTTTTAAAATGAGCGAAATACAACCTCTGATGAACTATAATGTATTTATTTAACAACTAAGCCAAAAACCGAAATTATACTGCCATGTTGTTTTTATACAGAAGAGGCTTTCTCCTGGGAAATTGTCGAAATAAGTCATACTTGTTTCATCTTCTTATTACTTGTCATGAAGTTTAATATTTAACATGCTAAGTGAAGCCTGTAGAGACTGAGATGTAGCTGTTTCAGTATCTAGTATTGCACAATTATCTATATAAATATTGATTTATGCAGAGCAATAAATCTGCCATTTAACCTAGGTTAGCATATTTGGTGATTCTAAATTGGTCATAGGTGTGAATGTGAGTGCGAATGATTGTCTGTCGCTCTGTGTTAGCCCTGCAATAGACTGGTGACCAGTTCAGGGTTTAACCTGCCCCCTGCCCTATGGTGGCTCGGATAGGCTCGAACCCCATGTAATCCTGAATGAGATAAGCGGAAGAGGATGAATAGATGGATGGAAATAATAACACAGTGCAATATGTCATGTTTTACTTTTCATCTGAGGTTGTATTTTACCTCATTTTACCTCATTCGCCTCCGTCAGTGCGCCCCAGGGTGGCTGTGGCTACAATGTAGCTTGCCATCACCAGTGTGTGAATGTGTGTGTGAATGGGTGGATGACTGGATGTGTAAAGCGCTTTGGGGTCCTTAGGGACTAGTAAAGCGCTATATAAATACAGGCCATTTACCATTTTAAGACACATAACCTCTTTTTTACTACATTTGTATGTATTGCTTTATTTCACTGACATGCTTCATGCTGTTTGCAGTACGTACGAGTGTCTTATGACACCAAGCCTGACCTGCTGCTCCACCTGATGACCAAGGAGTGGCAGCTGGAACTGCCCAAGCTGCTCATCTCAGTCCACGGGGGCCTGCAGAACTTTGAATTGCAGCCCAAACTCAAGCAGGTCTTTGGCAAAGGGCTCATCAAGGCTGCCATGACAACAGGGGCCTGGATATTCACTGGAGGAGTCAACACAGGTAAACCACGGGTTTTGACTTATGAAGACAAACTTAAAAACTTTCATGTTTGCAAAACAGAGAGATTGCATACAGCGTTGCACAGCCGTCTTCCTTTTTATAAAAATTAAGTGGGCACTTCAATTTGGCGTATGATGAGTGTGTTCAAGTCTTTATCACAAGTTATCAGCTATTAAATAACCATTTGTCAAGTGTGTCTAGGCTCTGAAGCTGTTCAGCCACTGGATCACTGTAAAATGGCTGTGAGCACACAGTGAAAGTATGTCAAGTAGTCTAGACTGCTTTTTAATGACTTAAACCTGATGACAGGGTGGCTCATTCAGATTAAGAGTTATTATTCCAGTATTAGTTGCATGAGAGAAGGCCTGAAATTAAGGACGATCAAAATCTTACACTTGTCAAGCATTCTTACTTTTTGAACAAAGTAATAAAATGTTCTAGCTTAGTAATAGTCCATATGGACCCAAGAGAATAGAAACAAAATATAGAGTGCTAACTAATTAATACAGAACCTTTTGCTGTTACAGTGTAGAGGAATCAGTTACATTGTAGAGAAATCACAGAGATGTCTGCTTTAAGGAAGCAGTCTTCTAAGGCTAAGGAAGTCTCCTATTCTTAGTGCTGAGTTTTTTTTTTGTTTGTTTTTTGTTTTGGATGATTTTGGCTCAGAGCAGAGTAAGTGAGGAGCTCAGAGGACTGGATGTTGAATGCTGAGGTTGGAAGGGTGAAAGTGTGAAAAAGTCCAAGTTTCAAAGCTTGAAGAAATAAGACTGTGCAACAGTGTAAGTGGTGAAACAAGATTGGTTGGAATGAATACAGGAAACCAGAGTGTTAGCTGGCAGACTGGAAGCACATGAATTATTCATAAATATGCTGTTGCCATGTATATAGAAAGAGGCCTCAGCGAGTAAACTGGAGCTCCACTAAACGCTCTGAACAAGCGCACATTACACATTCATATAGTACTTTTGTCTATGGGGGAAAATGTGTCTTATCTTATCAGCTTCACTTTGCCTTCAGTAAGGAAGTTAACTGTTATTTTTACCTTGTATTGTTTCCAGGGCACAAAAAGAGATGCTATTTAAGTATCTTAGATTGTATTTAGCGCACTTAAAATAAGATAAAAAGGCAGCAGAATAATGTTTAAATAGGAGAGATGAGAACAGACAAAAAGAAATGATACACGCTGGATGGCGTAGAGTGCGCGCACTTGAATACAGAAAGGAGTAGAAAGTAAGATTTAGTGACAGAATGGGTGCAGGAGGAGAAAAGAGGCCTGAATAATGGATAGCTGGATTGGAGGGACAGTGTGTGGAGGTGGAGAAAAGAATGGATGTCAGCTGGAGAGATGAGATAAGATGGCCCCCAGGTCTGACTGCTGCTCCCCTGAGGACAACTACTACAAGCCGAGAGCTACAACCTGGCTGTGTTTAAGTGTGTATGTGTGCGTTTGTGTTTGTTAACACTGGCTCCACACAGTTGTCTTGTGTGCTTAACAGATTCTTTTTATCTATCTCAGCAGTGTACGTAATTATCTGACTGGCTGTGTATTGATTGTGACAAAACATCTTTCTCTCTGTCCGTCTCTTAAAAGCCCTGAATATTCATGCACACATGCCTATGTCCACACACAGGTGTGATTCGCCACGTGGGTGATGCACTGAAAGACCACGCCTCCAAGTCAAGGGGAAAGATATGCACCATTGGTATTGCTCCATGGGGCATCGTAGAAAATCAAGAGGACCTTGTTGGCAAAGATGTAAGTCTGTGAAGATAGATAGATAGATAGATAGATAGATAGATAGATAGATAGATAGATAGATAGATAGATAGATAGATAGATAGATAGATAGATAGATAGATAGATAGATAGATAGATAGATAGATAGACAGACAGACAGACAGACAGACAGACAGACAGACAGACAGACAGACAGACAGACAGACAGACAGACAGACAGACAGGGTAGATAGGGCTGAGGCTATAAAGTGCTATTGACAGCTTATTCACTGAGATGCTGAGTAAGCCAATAAACACTCCTTCACAGTGAGCTGGACAGCTGGGGAAACCAAATGAGGCCCATGCTGACTCAGTGAAATCTCTGGGAATCAGTGTTACGCTACTGTTAAAATTTCATCATCAAAATGTCCCGCTCTCTGTCCCTCTGAATAAGTCAGGCAGAACCAATTAATGTTGGTGACTGAAATGAGCTGATTAAGTGCTGAGGTTCTTTTTTATGCGTGATTGGTTTTAGCTGTCTATATACTACCAGATGAGTTTACCTCAAAGTGTCAGACAGTGTTGCGGTATTGTATATATCTGAGAAACTTTGGAGAAACTGAAAGTTTAATTTCAGCAGCAGTACAATGAAAGTTATGTTAATAATTATTGGATACATGGCAACTCCAAATCTAAAAAATGATTAGAACTGCAGTGTAGATGGTCCCTCTCACAGCTGTCACAGGGCAAAAGGCGAGGTATACTAATGAGGGGTCACCGTCCACACGACCATAAGTGTGTGTATTTGGGACAACACCCCCCCGCTGATTAGGACCTTCTTGCTTTAGGCAACAGTTACAACCACTGCGCTGTCACCACCAGTATACCAGAGTGATGTTAATTTTTGTAATTACTAAATAGATTATCTACCATTAACTTGACAATATGCTCAGCATCCAGGTGCTTGAGTAATCTATTACTCTTGAAAGACTCGCATGAGACAGGTTTTTTACCTGTCTCTGTTCATCCTACTCGTGATTTCACTGCGAGCATTTTCTCTGTGATAGTCTCCCTCTGCTGTAACACTTCCTTCAGTTGCTCCCTCATTCGCAAGGGGTCACAACAGCAGATGGTTCCACATAGTTGATTTGGTAGTTTTTCATGTCAGATGCTCTTCCTGACCCAACCTTCCTAGTGATGTCTGTCTTAAACTGGGGATCTTTTTTGCGTCTGCACCATGGAGCCATTATAGTATCACACTGCTTGAGAAATGCTAATGTCTTTAAAAATCTATGGCCCAGCTTGTAGCATAGGATATCCATCAAGTCTCAAATCACAACCCAAGCTCACCCCACATGAAATCCTTACGGTTATTTTACTCATATTTCTTAAAGCTTTGGGCAGCAATGCTCTCTTGAGGCATACATTCAACTTTAGATGCAAAAGCAAAAGTAGTGAAAACCTCTTGAGAACAGGAGCAGGCTGTAATTTTATATTTGTATTCTAAGAAAGGTGCAGTGTTTGCATAGTTGTTAAATATTGACTTCTTTTGGCCAGGTGGTGCGTCCATACCAGACCATGTCCAACCCGATGAGCAAGTTGACGGTTCTTAACAGTCTCCACTCCCACTTCATCCTGGCGGACAACGGCACCACAGGAAAGTATGGTGCTGAGGTCAAATTGCGACGTCAGCTAGAGAAACATATCTCCCTGCAGAAGATCAACACACGTGAGTGAAATTTATCGCATCTTTCAGTCTGAGCCAAACTGACCTATTTACCCGACATTAGTGTTGGTGTTTTTAAATATTGCGGCGAGTGATAACGGCATCATGAAACTGTAATCCTCGCTTTATCAGCGACACCTCTGTGGGTTAATTGGGTTCACTCTAGTTTGTAGACTAAAATTACCTGCTTTATAGTGAGCACATGCTGTCAGAAGGTGTATTTTTAGCCAGGTAGATATAACTTCGTAAGCCTTTGAAAGTGTCCCTCCCTTCAGGGGTGGGTTATTTTTTTTCTTTCAAAGCTTCTTGACAGCTCCGATGAACTCTTTCCTCAAATAAATCTGCTTGATAATCTGTGGGGGGTTTTTTTTTCTTTTCCTCTTTGGTGCCTACAGCTATCAAGCCAGCTGGCAAACACAGGCACAGTGGCAAGCACAGAACTACAACATATGTAGACATACAGTATACATGACTGTAAATGCATGTACATACAGTAATGTATCCTTATACTACCACTGGGGGAAGGAAAAAGCTTGATCACACTGTTTTTGGTTGTTTACTTACCTGTCTTTGTACTGAATATTGCGTGATACACATGTTAAGCTGCTGGCTTTGCTGTACAGACAACAGTTTCTTTTTATATATTTTTTCAGATAAATCAAATTGCATTAACACAAAAATCCTAATTTCACTGTATTCTTTATTTTTGTGAAGCTCGAATTAGTTGCACCAAAAGCGTCCTGTGCTCACAAAGGGTAGCAAGTACAAATACTTGTTCATGTGCCCAAAAACATAAGCTTTAATTTTTTTTTTCAGTGTATTTTTGAGTCGGCATATTTGCCTTTGTGCGGCGTGTTCATCCGGCACTGAGTCCTTGTTGCATTGCATTTCTCTGTTTTCATTTTTCACATTATACCTTAGCTAGAAACTGAATGGATTTACATGAATACAAAATGCATTTCTCTGTCTTTTTCTATCTCACCCTCCTCTTCTCGCGCTCTGTCATACACAGACACAAGCAAAGCAAAATCGCACATAAACCTCTGTGATATCCTTTAAATATATTTCTCAATAGCCTCTTGCAGTATTGTTTTGATTGAGCCAGGAGCAAACCTAAGTCAGATAAATGTTGTTTGCAACCGGGATTTATTTGCTATTACCTTCTTTTGCTGTCAGGGTAAAACCATTTTGAAATAATTTCTTCGGGGTTCGGTTGACATGAATGCACGCACTTTTACACTAGTGCTTTTTGTAAAACTCAGGAAGTGGGTGCGTTGCCACAGAGTCGAGTGCTGTGATTCAGATCTTCTCTTTGTCAGCACCAGTTTTATCCGCTGTCAGATGCCTCATTGATGTTTGCTGATAGCGAGCTTGCAAGGAGATGTTAAATGTCATTTTCATTCTTAGAAGAAGTGTTAACACTACCACATCCCTCCTAATCCTCTAACTTCAAGGTTATTAGAAATATTCCTGGTATTAAAGGGACAAAGCGGTGTACGTTCATCATCCAGCCATGTGACCTATGGACTTCCCTTTGTCATCCTATGCCTGGATTAATACAAAAGGGGCTGGGAAGGCAAAGGGACGGCCAGTTGTCATGCAAGCATCTAATGTACCACCGCTGATTTAAATCCTTTCTGCAGCTGTTAGCTGTATTTCCAAGATGAGTACTAATGTTTATTAGTTATTACCAGTTGTTAGTTATAGGTAACCAGTGACCTGCTGACTACCCACAGAGCCATAACCCACAGACTATCTCTGAAAATAATCCGCACTGCCTGAGGTTGCACTGATAGCCACCTTCAGCTTTAGCTAAAGTTAAACCTGCCACTCATCCTGGCAACTTGCCTGTTGAGGTGAAGTCCTCTATCAAAGGGAATCCACCGCCTTAATCAAAATCACATGAAAACCTATACTTCTATAGTGACTTGGTACTTTTATCTTTGACTGTCAAAGTGAGCTCTTATTAAGTCTTATGCATACACATACACACACACACACACACACACACACACACACATACACACACACACACACACACACACACACACATATATGCATATATACATATACAGTACATATATAAAAAGATAATAACTGTATAGTGCTGTGAATAGTATTTACCCCCTTCTTCATTTCTTAGTTCTTTGCAGTAAATTATTTCATTTACTGTGGGGAAAAAAGCTATCCAAACCAATCTGACCCAATTTGAAAAAGTAATTGCCCCTGGGCAAAAATGGCATCCCTGAGAGAGTTGCAAGGAGAAAACCCAAAATTCCTCACAGTGATGTGAAGGGCTCATTGCCAATTATCACAAACACTTGATTGCAGTTCTTCCTGCCGATGGTGGCACAACCAGTTAGCAGGTTTAGCCAGGTACATTTGGATTGCTTTCTCACTTAATAGATGAAATCATCTTTTAAAAACTGAATTTTGAAATTTACTCTAATATTAATAGTATGTCTAATTTTTTGCTGATCTGAAACATTTAAATGTGCCAAATATGTGAAAAACAAAGAAAGGAGGCAAATACTTTTTCATGGCACGGAAGCTTTTCAATGTCCAGTTTGGGAAATTCAGGAAGTCCAAGCAATTACCCTTCTGGTAATAGCAAGCTGTTTAATTGCTAAAAAACAATGATTAAAAAAAGAAATTAAGGAAAGTGAAAAATGAATACTGAATATATTCAATCCTCTTAACATGAGAAAGTCAAGAAACAAATCCACTCAGTTATAGAGTGAAGAGCTATATTATACTGAATCGTGTTGTGCGTTTGTATGCATGTGTATCTTGATGTGTGTGGGCATTTACCTCTTTATTCACCAGTGTCAGGCTTGTGGACAAAGGCCATTTTTTGACTTGATCACCTGTCCATAGTCACTGGATGACTGCATCAGTTTTCCTCACAGCAGGTACCCCTGTGGGATCCACGTGTGCCCGGAGGTGTTGTCAAAGAAAGAAAGATTTAAAAAAAAGTGAAGGGGAGAAAACAGCAGTTAAGTTTAAATGGCCATGCTTGTGGGTTTTAGACCACATGTAACCACCAGATCTCTCTTTTTCCCCAACATAGTCCCAAACATTGCACACAACACAAGATGAAAGAAGTGTGGTGGATAGATATGCGTAATCTTCCCCTGTGGTATTTTTGTGATGTCTGGGCAATCCTGTAGCTAATCCTACTGCGCTTGTGTGTGAATATCCATGAAACAGCTATAACCATGTGACTGCCAGAAATGCTGTAGCAATCAAATTGGCTCCACAATATTCTAACATTTTGTTTAAATTATGGGAATCAGTGCTTTACAACAAATCTATGGGTGTTTTTGTCTGGTTACCCTCTTACAAAAAAGTTATAATCTAAAACAGGTCAATTTCTGTTGCCGTAAGAGCACATTTGAGTCAAAAACTGACTCACTTTTTGCTGAATATTTGATGTTAAATCTAAAAGCGGTATCTCTGGCTGTGTGTAAACAAAATAAAAGTCCTAAGACACGAAACATGGCTTCAAAGGCTGTAAATATGGATGGTTGGAGCCAGCACATTAAAACTAGAGCACTGGAGTGACACTCCATGGATGATGTAGCCCAATTTGATCTCAAGCGGGCTAGGGTAGAAAAACCATTGTACTGTAAGGACGCACAAGTACAATCAGGGAGCACTAGAGTCAATACTGAGTACTACTGTATCAATGGGCTTCTCATTAGTTAGCTAGCCAGACGAGGATGGAGCTCAGGCAACCTAGAATATTTCCCATGTGAACAGAGGTACAGATTACCCAGTGAACGTTGATAAATGAAAGTAAACAAATGTTGTTTTGGAAAAAAAAAGAACTTTATATATATATTCTCTCAGTTACTCTTACACTGGAGCATTTCTTTCTCCTGCTTTTCATTCCCAAGTAGACAATGTCAAACTGCAAGATGAGGAAATCAATAAAATGATTGGCACCATTCAACACTGTTGATTCACCGCTGCACAGCTCTTTTGATGTGTCTGTGGCCTTGGCTGTAATGCTTTTTAATCACTGCCTCACAACAGACAGAAGTGCAGAACGAGCCCGAGAGGAGAGTGGGAAAATTAATACAGAAAAAAAGGATTAAGGGCAGGGAGAGAAGGAAGAAAACTAAATAAAGTGCAAAGGAGGTAAGAAACAGCCGAAGATGCAGGCAGTGAGGCAAGGTGTTATCTGTGTTTGCTTTGATGAAAAATTGGGAGGTAAAAGGAGGAAAAACGTGGTGTGATAAAATATCAAAACAGGCCTCATCCATTAATATAGAGAAAAATAAGAGAGCCCTTCATCTTATTTGCTGCATTCATTACGTGACAATTTAAAACTGAATCCACACACCAGGAAAAAAGTTATTAATTTGTGCAAGTTTAGATGCGGTCAGTGACAATGAACGACTGGCCTTGAACGTGCCCTCTTGCTTTTCACCTAAATTACTTGGTGTATTGAAATAGATGCATTCATGTAGATACTGTGTTAACCTTCACCTGCCCTCCTATTACAGTGATTTAATTAATCACAGCACACGTAAAAGAAATAGTTGGGGCAATTGAATTCAGAAGCCATAAGGCTTTGCATTGCAGATTAGCCTTGACACTGTGACCTCCATCAGCAAATATTGAATGAATTATAGTTACACTGTGGCACATGGGAAGTCAATGAGTTTGTACTGTTCTGTGTTCACTGTAAATGCCTGGACAAACTCTTTCAGAATATGATCCTTTTTAATGCCAAGTGTGCATATGGGCATCTAGAATATGAATTAGAAATGATACCATTTACAGATTGTAATAGATCAAATAAAGCACTAATAGGAGATTGAATTATATGGAAGTGTGCATAATTCTAATGATCAAATACAAATGTTTAAATTTCTTTTAAATGTTTAGAATTGAATCATTAATTCTCTTTCACAGCCTCTCTGGTCAGTGGTCAGTGAATTGGCACGGTGTGTGGATCAATAGATAATCTATTTTCAGGCAATATGAGTAAAAAC